CCCCCCCCCCAAAAAAAAAAAAAAAAAAAAAAAAAAAAAAAAAAAAAAAAAACACACATAAAAAAAATAAAAAAAACAACCAACCCCCCACACAAACAAAAAAAAAACACCCCCCCCCCCCCCCCCCCAAAAAAAAAAAAAAAAAACCCACTAAGAATGTAAAACCAAATTGGAAGACAACAATAAAAAAGGACAAAAAAAATGAAAGCCTGGAATACTATATAAATGAAAAGAACCGATAAAGATGCAATCCATACTTGCCAACAGCTCTGAGATTCACCCTTTCCTTTTCTGAACTAGTAGGGTGATCTCTTCTTTCATTAAGAAAGGCATTATTATCTTGGTCAGCCTTAGGGATCGAAGAACGCATGCCCAAGCCAGTCTGTTGCAAGGTGTTATCAGCTTTTGCAACTCCAACAGCCTCATTAGCAATGGCAGGCCTAAAAAAGATAGATAGTACTATCATCTTAGAATTAATAATGTTGTTTGGACTCCTAGAAACGAGACTTGAACCAAACAACAAAAAGTAATAAAGATAAAAAAATGGTCTTTAATGACTAATTTTGTGGTAACTAATTTTAATTTCTGTATTTCATAAAGGACAGGTGTATCCCTACAACATATGTTTTTTTGAACTGTTCCCTGCTACATGTAAGGCAAAATCTTTAAGGTAGAATTCTTTGTTAGCTACACTCAGTCCAATTTGATTCTGGGGTCAATCAACCGGTAGGCCAAAGACTTACAAATCTTTCTAGGTTACTACGGCAATCCAAAATATGGAGCAAATTCCAACTTTTAGGTTTCCTCAAACATCTCTAAATAGAAAAACAGGTAATCACTATCATGTCGTCAAAGAAATGCACCCGTGCTAGGAATTCCAAAGGTCAAAAGGGTCAGTTGCATGACATATTGCAACTTTCTGGAGTAATACCTTGACCCATGGGTATCATTCAATCTCAATCGACCATCAGGAAGAAGTCTTGGCTGTATTCCTTCTTTGGGCTCCCGATAGCCATCAATAGGTTTCATACCCAATGTGCTAGCAGCACCATCTGGCTTTATCCCAGAACGCTTCTTCTTCATTTTTGACTTTTCCCAACCATCAACACCAAATGTTCGATCCTCACATTGAAGTGCACTACTACTCGGAAGTCTTACCATTTCCCTATCCTTGTCTACATTCCCAGATGGCCTTGCAGGGGTATTTGCCCGCACATCCACCTGGATCAAATCAAACCTCAGATGTGAGTCCTCTCCAAAGAAGTTGAAACTAGTTTAAAGGGAACTCAAACAAATTAAGATGAACCAGTTGAGAATACAGAAGATGGCATTCTTAAAAGACAATAAAGAACAACCCTGAAGGGAGTTGCTAAAATAAGAGATACAAATAAAATGAAAGACATTGCGATGAAACAAACAGGTTACAGATTACTTCACTCAATTCTACAAAGAAAAAGAAATTCAAATGTGTTCAAGAAAGTAACAAGCACAAGAAAGAGATCCAATCCCATTTGACATCAAATCTTCTTTTGGTAATTAAGAATGTGCTATCGCAATCCAGCAAAAACTTGAATATTTAAAGAATAATGGGGCAGAGAGAGAGAGAGAGAGATTCCATATCACTTAAAACACGTATATCAAGAACATGAGATAGTTGAAAGCTAGTAAAGAAAACTCTGTGAAAAGGGGGAAATAATCAACATAAACCATGACTGTAAACCGCAATCAATTACATGAGGTCCTCATACTATTGTCCTATATAACCCAATAAGGAAATATTGTCTTATATAACCCAATCAAAGGAAATAAAATATTAATTGACAAAGCACATTATTAAATACAAAAAACAGAAGTCCAATAGACAACCCTCATATCCACCATAGAAGTTCGGGTGCGTCTGTTTGGAACAGAATTTTTTGTCCTTTCCACTGGTTTTTGTTGTTCAAGTTCAAAACCAGTTGCAATGGCTTGACACTGAGCCCCAATCTTACCAATGCCTGCTCCCAAAACTGACCTATCACTTGGGAATAAAGCATTGGATCTGTCACTAGCAAAAACATCCGATCGAGATCGCTTCCTTGATGTAACGCTTGGAAGACACTTGTTGATTACGGACAGGGCCTCATTCAGCATCCCCACACGTTCCCTGGTACATGACACAACATTCCAAACCAAACGCATCTGTAATCCTTATCCAAAAGGGGAATTAAAGAAGAAACTTACTAAATACAAATGTAAATAGCTACCTGGCCTTACTGGAGCTTTCGCGAAGACCAGACTTGAGTCGTTTGAGCTCTTCAGGTGGGGGAGAAGGCAGCAGTTTGCCTTTCAAAGAAGAAGCTGGAGAATCATCTGGTGGAATGCCAAGAGCAACGCTGGTGAGTTGCCTAAAATCCCCATGTCGGTTTAATTTATGGTCTGCAACAATCAATTTTGGATCAAATCGCAAGCACTGAATAAAATTCACTGCATCTCCTTGTGTTGCTGCTGAACTGCTTCTTGACATATTTGGAAGAGTAGACAGGATTGGGTTCTCCATGTTCTCTCGGAAGCTACACGATCTGTCCAATGAAGCACCTGTGTAGGATCCACGCTGCCCAGTGGTGTATAATGGCCTATCTGGGCTACCAGAAGATAAATCACATTTACTAGATGCTGCCATCGCATCAGCTTCCACACGCTTCCTTTGTCACAAACCCAATTAACACAGTTGTGCATGACAATGCTGTGTATTATGGCGCATGAAAATCAAGCTTAAAACTCTTAATGATATTGACAGGATAATTTACCTGCAAAGGACATTAAGTTAGAGCATATGTACCCGAATTCACATCCACTAAAATAATATCACAAGTAGTAAAACATCAATGACAAATCTAATTCTTCATATTTATGACCTATGTTTGAAAGTTCAAAACCAGTCTAACTGGTAAGTAATGAGCTGGAACCATACACTGAATTGGCCCAGCAAAATTTAATTGCAGAAGGTCATACAAGGAACACGAATGAAATTCATAAATGTAGAAGCCCTGAAGGACAAATTAATCAAATTAGCAGGTCTCCTCACAAAGTCTAAATGCTATCATATTAATTCTTAGATAATTTTATCAACCAGTAAATATAATCCCAGACAGAAGTTTATGATCCTTTCCAATTCCACCCTAGTTGTTTCCATACTGCTTGTTATCTTGTTTGCAACAAAAGGAAAACATAACCACCCCACCACCTGAGCCTGGCCATCATGACCCTTCCAACCAGCTTATACTCAATCTCTAAATTCCTACCAAATATTCTTAGGCCCAAGATAAATATGTTGTACCCAAAAAGAGTTAACAGAACAGCTGGAAAGACAAGGAATCGAACACAACCCTTATGCGTTCTTAAATTTGTTAATCAGATGATGAAGAACACATACAGATTATTGGAAGACATAAAATTGAGTACTCTTATGACATCCAACATAAAGTGCACCCTACGCCTAAACCTCGCTTGGCATGTATTGTAAAAGTTATAACACTATAGATTTGATGTTTGTTCTTGATATACTTAATACCATCACTGTTTTGACACAAGACAATAGTTAAACGAGTCTTTGGGAGCTTTCTCATTTAAATCTTTTTTTGAGTCATTGTTGGATGACAATCCGTATCCTTTGTTTGCCACTGCTTTGATGATTTAGACTTCTAAAGTGTCCATTAAGGTACAAGTCTTTGTATGGACATGGACGGTAGCACATGGTAAGATTAACACTAATGATATACTTCAGAAGAGGATGTCTCACATTTGTCTTTCATCCCAGTGGTGTGTGATGTGTAAAAGTGATGTGGAGAGTATTGATCATTTATTTTTACATTGTCCGGTTGCTTTGACATTATGGCATCTATTGTTTCAAGTGGTAGGGTTGACCTAGGAGATTCCAGCAGCATCACATTCATTATTTGTTGAAGATGTTAAAGGTTTTGGAAGATCTAGTAAAGCTGTTATTCTTTGGATATGTGCTATCATAGCTATGTTTTGGGTTATATGAAAGGAACAAAATGCAAGAATTTTTGAATATCGGAGTGAGAGTGTGGAGGGCTTATGGGAACGTATTCATTTTTTAGCGTCTTTGGCTTCGGTGACAAAGGAGTACAAAAGAATTCCGCTTTTTGTTGTTTTAGCGGGATGAAGAGTTTCCTTTGATTTATAGGTTTATTGTTTCATTTTGTATTTCATTTTCGTAGTTGGATTCTTTAGCCAACTGTTTTTGTATCCCATATTTTATTTATTAATGAAAGAGTTTGTATCCCATATTTTATTTATTAATGAAAGAGTTTGTGTTCCAATCAAAAAAAAAGAAATAAAAAGAAAGAGGATCACTGCAACCTAATTGTTGTCATTGAGATAGTTAAATTTGTTAGTATGAGTAAACCAAAGCACAATACAGTTTCTCCAACTTCAAGGTTGAGTGGCAATGACAAATCTTTTTGGCAAGCACTAATTTCAGTTACTTGGGATAGTATAGAATAGTCATACATCCTGTAAAAAGATCTACATAAACATGTATTAGGGTATGCCTGATTCTTCATTGGCATACTTAAGTCCATTTAACAACCAAAACACGCAACTATCTCCATTGAACAACTTAAAGAAATAAACAAAAGCAAAAACAGGGATTGAACTTGTGCATGCCGACATTCATAAAAGCAATAGGGCACAGGGCACCTGCCATGCACATATATAGAATGGAAATTCTCCACGTAAAACATACCTTGTACAAATCTATGTGGCAACACATGCATGCACAATCGCCCAAAAGGAAACATTCATTATGCAGACATCTAAAAAGAACTGACCAAAAAAATTTTGAAGTACATTTAATTCTGCCTGTTTTTACAATAAAAAAATGAATACTAGGTTCAAACCCAAAAGTCATGTTAACTCATCGACCACGGTAGCAACTACCAAGTGTCTGAGTCAAACAACCTCGGAAGAAACTCCAATGAATGTAATTATTAGTATATAACTGCATACGTACAAACAGACTGAAAACAAGTACATTCGATAGTTCTCTTCTTTAAAAAAAACCCCTTTGTTTCCTCTTTTTTTTTGGAAAGTACCTTTATTTCCTCTTTTTGTTTCTATGAAGTTCACTTCTACTTCAAAGTACCACTTGATCTCTGCAATTTTAGCCAATGCTTATCAAAAAAAAAATACTTTCTATCTCTAATCGAATTTTCAACTATATCCAGTTTAGGAGTTCAATCTGATCGAAATTTAACACTCAAAGAATCCACTAGATCATAAAAAAAAAAAAAAAAAATCAACTACTCACTCTAATCAAATTTTCAACTATATCCAGGTTAGGAGTTCAATCTGATCAACACCATGGCCGGCTCAACAGTATATTCAAAAAAGCATGGGCTTTAAGCCCAAGGCCCCAAATTTTAGAGTTCAATAATGAGATATAGATCAATGATCAAAAATCATTATAATTTAGCTTAACAAAAAAACTCCTGCAACTCTCATCATATGATTTCAATTTCAGAAAAACAAAAGGAATTAAGACTCACACATAGACTGTCATACAGAAAGAGAGAGAGAGAGAACCTGCGTGTGGCTTGTGGCTTTGAAGAGAAGGCGGCAAGAGAGGCGAGAATCTCTGAAACTCGAAGAGGAGGTGGCGCTAGGGATCAATCGACTGAGAAGAAGAAGAAAGAGGCGAGAGTCTCTGAGACTCGTCGGAGGAGGAGAATGCGCTAATAATTTTAGGATTTTTGTGCACAAATTAAATGTATATATTTTTTAAAAAAATTATAGATGTGGGTCGAATCGGATCGGTAAGAATGCAAAACTTTTGTGTGTATTTTGCATTCAGACCCGAAAAAGCAAAAATTCTTTCATTTGCCGCCCCATTTTTACGGAAGCCGATCATTCAGGGTAGGGTCGAAATTGGTGGGATATGGAAAAATTTGAACACCGTTACTTGAAAGATGAAGGGTCCGTTTGGTAATCAATTGTTTCTATTTTATTTTTATTTTTATTTTTTGGCAAAAAAATCATATTTGGGGAGTGTATTTTTTTTTTTTTTGTCAGTCTACTTTGTAACTAACCCCTATTTTTTGAAAACACTTATTTAGGTGTTTTCAAAAACAAGGAAAAAATTGTAAACACGCGCAGCTNTTGAAAACACTTATTTAGGTGTTTTCAAAAACAAGGAAAAAATTGTAAACACGCGCATCCCTTAGCCTCAATTAATGAGGTCTTGTCTTCGAACTCCGTTACCAGCACAAAATGTATTCTTTTTGTTCTAAGTATAAAAGATTTTTTTTTACCTTTTTTCTTCTCTCATTTGTCTCTCCATGCTTCTCTCGTTCGTCTCTCTTGTGAAGCCAGCATAGGGAGGAAGCTCTAGCGAACAGGCGAAGCTCCAGAGAAGGAAGCTCCGGAGAAGGAAGCGCTGATTTTTCGAATTTTCTACTCTTTTCATCTCCATCTCTCTCTTTCTCTCTTTAACCCCTCTGTGAAATTTTTTTTTATTGAACTATTTGTGTTTGTTATATTCATAGATCTATGTATATGTGCATATATATACATAGATCTGCAGATTTCAGTGGTGGGGTTGGGTTGTGGGTTTTGGTGGTGATTTTGGGTGGCCAGTGGAGATTTGTTTGTGTTTGTTAGATTTGTTTGGGTCGTGGGTTTCGGTTGTTTGTTTGTGTTTGTTACATAGATTTGTTTGTGTTTGTTATATTTATCGATCAGTGCAGATTTTTTTCGAGAAGCTAATGGGGTTGCAGATTTTTTAGCTTCCTATGCTGATCAAGATGTTGCACTGATTTTTCGGTAGTTGATCTACCTATAGAACGAAGGTTAATGTTGCTTCTAGATCAGCTGGGTCTGTCGGTTGTAAGGAGGAAGATAATTCGTCTGGACATTCCTTACTGCTATTCAAGTTGGCACTACTTTATTTTTTATCGACGGGCATTTGGTCTAATGGTACTTTTTATCTTGTCAAGACTTTATTTTCTTGAAGTCAAAGGTTCAAGTCCTCCTCCCCTACCCATTTCCCCCCAAAAAAAAAAAAATTTTNTTGCTTCTAGATCAGCTGGGTCTGTCGGTTGTAAGGAGGAAGATAATTCGTCTGGACTTTCCTTACTGCTATTCAAGTTGGCACTACTTTATTTTTTATCGACGGGCATTTGGTCTAATGGTACTCTTTATCTTGTCAATGCTTTATTTTCTTGANGCTATTCAAGTTGGCACTACTTTATTTTTTATCGACGGGCATTTGGTCTAATGGTACTTTTTATCTTGTCAAGACTTTATTTTCTTGAAGTCAAAGGTTCAAGTCCTCCTCCCCTACCCATTTCCCCCCAAAAAAAAAAAAATTTTAAAAAAATGTAGTAAGGAGGAAGAAGACTTTGGTTTCTCAATTTTTATCTCCCCATTATCATTCTTTATAAGTTTTTGGATTTGTTTTGAAGGATTAAAGCCATATTAGGCTTTAAATCATTTTATTCTTGTAATTCGTTGAATTGATGAAATAAAATTTTTATTTTTTTANAGACTTTGGTTTCTCAATTTTTATCTCCCCATTATCATTCTTTATAAGTTTTTGGATTTGTTTTGAAGGATTAAAGCCATATTAGGTTTTAAATCATTTTATTCTTGTAATTCGTTGAATTGATGAAATAAAATTTTTATTTTTTTAAAAAAAAAAAGTGGTGGGGTTGGGTGGTGGTATTGAGTGGCCAGTGGAGTTGAGTGGTGGGGTTTGGGTGGTGTTTTTGGGTGGCCAGTGGGAGTTCAGTGGTGGGGTTTGGGTGGTGAATTTTTGATATACTATCAAACAAGTTTTTAATTTTTGTTTTTACAAATTTTCAAAAACATAAAAGATTACCAAACATGTTTTATATTTTTAATTTTTATCAGAAAATAAATAAAATTTAGTTCTATTTTTTTCATTAAAAAAACATAAAATAAAAAACGTTACCAAACGCACCCTNTAAATAAAATTTAGTTCTATTTTTTTCATTAAAAAAACATAAAATAAAAAACGTTACCAAACGCACCCTAAGTCATTAAAAAAAATTAAAATTTAGGTTAAAGGGTGTAGTACACCCCCACACATACACATTTTAAATGACAAAAAAAAAAGTTAACACGTGGATAAAAAAATATAATAAACATATATCTTTTATAATAAAAATAAATTAAGCACATTTTCTATTTTTCTCAAACTTGATTTTGTTCTTATTTAAATATAAAAATGTCAATTAATATAATTGTTTTTTTTCATAAAGGACCCACAATAAAAAATAATTAATATCAAAAAAAAATTAATAAAGTTATTATCGGAAAAAATAAAACACAATAAAATAGTAGGTGAACAATACATACATAAACAAGTTAAGGATCATAAAAAAATAGTAAAATAATTCAATAACAAAGAATTTCAAATGTACACTGATAGTCGATCACGTAATAATTTTTATGAACAACATACAAAACAAATAAAAAGAACATAAAAATACTAATAAAACAATAGATTGTATCCCAAAAAGTGCAGAGATAAAAAAGATAAATAGATGTACAGATTTGTTTGCTAAAATATGTGTAGTTAGTCAAGATGATATATATATATATATATGTTTACAATTCCTATAAATTATACTATTGAACAGTTGTATGCAAATAACATGTATATTAAATAATATATATGTAATGTTTATATTTTATATGCCTAAATTACTAAAAAAAAAAATATGTGACATCATGTTATAACATTGAACATCTTTATTATGACAGTACCTTATAATGGTCTATACTGACAAATTAAAAAAATACATAAAATATAGAATTACGCATATATTACATTTAATCCTTGCGTATCATCCAGTAATTAATTTGTCTGTCTTAATCAATTTTATGGACAAAGACTCGACGATGAAAAACGAGTAGAGACTATAATTATTACGAGATGCGCAAAGCTTTGATTCTTTGAATGAAAGGAGTCACAACAGAGTTCAACTATTAAAATAGTCGTTTAGAGCTCCAAAAATTTATGGCCTAAATTTAATTTTCAGTCTTTAGTTTGATTTCATGTTATGAGACTCTTTTGAATGGACAAAGTTAAAGTCTCAATATATTTAAGATCTTATAAAAGTTCTAAAATGTAATAATTTCACAAATCTACGTAAACCTTATAGAAAATCTTAAAATATAACAAATCCTTCTAAAAAAAATATAAAAATAATGACTTCTAGTTTTAAAAGTTACGATCTTTTTCGATTATTTTCACTTTTTTTTTTTTTGACTCTCACCGCCTCTCAACTCATTTACTCCCTCCCACTCTCATAACGCTTTGGTTCTTTGTCATTATCTCTAACTTTCTTGTTGTCACATTAAGTACTCATTTAATTTATTAATGTGTAATATCCTTACTTTATAATTCACCCAATTTATTGTCTGATCCCGTCCGATCTCAAAACTCCTAAAAACAAATCATATTGTAATTTTCTATAAAATGTCTAATACTTATTAAAAAAATCATTATCTTCATGAAATATTAAATGAAATCTCACGTAAAATTCTTGCTTTAAGCTTCAATTTGTGTTGGCCCACCCCTCATCAACACTTACCACTCAAAAAAGCCACTTGATCATTAAAAAAAAACAGCTACTCCATTAACCATCTAGAACTACTATATAACTAATTTTGATCTCAATTCCACCTCAATCAACAGCATATACATGCATCCAAACATATGCACCACTATGTGTATACATATATGTAAACCCTATGAGTTGAATCGACAGGAAAAAAGAAGAAAATAGACGTAATTTACCTTCTGCCGTAACAAAAACTGTAAGAAAATAATTGAAACTTCATGACTTGAGTTGAAAATCCTGAATGTACAAATAAAAAGTTCAAAAGACATATCGATACACACGTACATATATAATATATATCTATGAACAGAAGAGATTGTGTAAATCTGGTAGAGATATTACAAGAATCTGAAATTTGTTTTTGAGCTCGGAAGCTCAAAATCGAAGAGCCACGGTAATAATCGGAAATGTGCTGGCTTTCGATGATGAAACTACTATTTTGCTCATAGATGGTGCTATGAAATAATGAAGTTGCGGTTTTCAAAGGAGGGATAAAATTGGAAGAAAAAACTTGGAGTTGGCTTGAACGGCTGACAATTTTATTTTTTAAAAAATTTTCCCTTTCTATTTTGGTAAAAACAACTCAATATTTTTATATTGATAATGATTGGTTGACCTTGAGTTCGAGTTGAATTTAATTCTCGATTTTGGGTTTTTATTTAAACTCAAACTTAGCTCGATAAAATTTTATGTGAATCCGAATCAAACTCGATTCGAAATTAAACTTAATTCATCAAAAAAATATTTTAAAATTCAATCCCTTTAACTTAATTATTGATCCAATTCAAAAAAAAAAAA